GAGATGTCAAATGTAATGCAAGAACAACACCGACCCACTGAGCGGAATTCTTCAAGAAAAGCAAGGAAGAAAGATATGATGCTCAATGAGTCCCTAGAGCGAGCAGAACCCACTGGACTACTTTTTCACGCGATAGGGAAAAATGAAGACTTACTGGCATCTGCTCAAATCACTTTGCTATCAATGGGACGACAAGTGCTGCATAAATGCGGACGTGGGTGTGCTCTCCTCTATGCCGAGTGTGTTCTACCAGTCAGCTGGGCTAAAAGCCTGCAATCAAGTAATAGAGAAGTATATGGCAGGCGGCTCGGAGTAGCCTGCAACAAATGTCAACGGGATGGCGGGTGATGCAGACGATCTCCGTTATATACGATTTGTTTCGTTTTTCTTGGACCATGACAAAAGTTTTTTTTTCCATCTTATGGCTGAATCGAATCTTCGCACGGAGAAGGCGATGATCATGTGCAGTACAAAATCCTGGTATTATTGAGAGTTGTCAAAGAGGCACCATTTCCTTTTTGTGAGAATATGGTCGATCTTTCCATAAATGGTCTCGTTAGGAGGTTCCAAGTCCATCATCCATCGTCTATGTTCTCAAAAAAAGTGAATTCGAATGGAAGAGACCTGCAACGGAGAGGAATTCTACAGGACTACTTCTATCCTCATTTTGATCTATTGTTATGAATTTCCCCATCCTGCATTCGTTTTCGGTGGCCTTTCCGATTCTGGTATTAAAGTCACCAAGAAAGACTAGGCTGAAGAGCTTTTCGTTCCTGATTACTTCCTGCAAACGGTTGTTGAACGCGTCTAGTGCGCTGCCATGGGTTATACAAGTTGGTGACTAATAGTTGGTGATACTGACTTTCTTTTGACGCGGATGTTAGAGACGGAAAATGGCGAAGGGTGGTTATCGAATTTCGTATAAAGTTATGAGATGGAAAATATGCGGGAGTACGACATGGCCAGGTCTCCGACATTTCTTGATGACGGAAATTTCGTTTCACAAACAACAAGAATTCCGTCATCAAATCGACCTTAGAGAAATCGAACACCTGAGATACCATTTTCTCTCAAGGAACCGCTCTACCTAAAAGTGGAAAAGTACTCCCGATGCCACATTATCAGGTAATTCCTCTTACCAAGAAAAATTTTTGGAACTGTTCACCGTGTAATGTTAAGCAGAAGTCAGCTTATTACTTAACAATTGTACCACGATCACACTGTGTCCCAGTTACAACGGAATTTTGCAGTTTTTTTGATCATGTAACACTTCATTATATATAATTTGTAAATGACCAAAGAATGGTGCTGTTGCCGTCGACTAATCGCTGACGGACATTCGATTTTGTTAGGCTTCGTTAGAGGTGATTTAATGCATTTCTGGCTTGTACGATGACTTGTGGTGGGCTAACAATAGGTTAAATTAATGCTACTATCCTCCAAGACAAGTATGGTAATAATTTGCCAGCTTCGGAGGGATGGAATCCTCGGTGAGAGTGCTGAGCATGTGGTCAAACCAACGACCACGTGTGTATTGCAGGGTGTGTCTAACGATTAGGCTACACGCCCTCTTTATGGCAAACAACTGAAAGATGATATAAACGAAGTATTTTGGACGATGCTCTTATTTGGACAAATAATTAAGGATGAACCAACGACGGAAGTCAATCAACGATGCAAACACCCTTCCGATCCACATGAGTCGGTGGCTATGCTAGGTGTTGACATTCTACAAAGAGTTTGGAAACAACGCTAGTTTGATGTCTAAAACACAATCCTAGTAGAAATCAAGGCACGATTCGCATTAAACGTAAACTAAGCTGACGAAATAGTCACATGCCTAAGTGTGGTGAACCGAAGGAGTTCTTCTTTTGCATTGTTAAAATACGTTTATAAGCGTTGCGACCACCTACGCAAGTCATTTCATGTTCATGAATTCTAATGCGAAAAAAAGCCGTAACTATGCCGATACTCGGATTGACGTTCTCAATAGTAATCCTTCAGAGTAATCGCCAACTTTTGTCTACTTTTGTGCTAGCCTTAGAACTGTCAAACATTTCTTTTAATAGAACACTAGTATCTCATCTGTTAAGAATGCTAAGTTTTGTAGTTTTCGTTCACAGAAACAAATATGTCTGTGATTCAGTTTCAAGTCATCTTCAGAACCTAACTTTCAACTATCTAGCGTAGCAACTCTAGAAGTTTCTGAGAAAAAAGTTGCCGATAACAACAACTAGGCTTCCACGTTGTTATAGCAATGACGATAGATTCTGAAAGACAAATAGCAGTTCTATATTTCCACCCGTAAGAGTCTCTAGTCGTTCACTGAAGTCAAAATTTTGTATTGCATCTTTCGTTTGTGGAATAAGGAATATTTCTAGCATCCATAAAGAATGGATGATCTTCTTCTTATTCCTACATAGCATCCAAATTTTCAAGCTTTGTGTTAATGTATGAAGAATTGCTGAATAGCAAATGTTGGTATAGAACCAGACGCTTTTCCTAATTTAGAGAGCTACTATGTTTAAACGTCCTCTATACGAACAGTAACCCAGTATTATCGGAAATTCAGCACAAAAATACAGGTTTTCCATCCAGCCCTTGCAATAGCCATAGGAAACCGGGTACGAAGAAATGACGAAATATCGCCAAAGCTTCCCAAAAGGAGGTGAAGATTCAGTTCATGAGGAACCCATAGTGAGAAGATGGAAAAGTCGAACTGAATGACTACGGAGAGCAGCTCGTTCTTGTACCATGGACGTTTAATGAACTTGGCAAACAACGCACAGAAGGAATCAGAGAGAAAAATTAGAGCAGATTGGGAGACATTCGGGTCTCTCAATCGGACCCGTGTTCGTGGCTAACGTCGATCATCTGTATTTCGAAATGGAAACGATCTCAGGAATACGGAATGGGCTTCGGGAACGTCATCATTTACTTAGCAGACCACCACCATAGACGAAGCTAGTGGTAGAGAAAAATGGATGGAAATTGGGCTCAGCCCCGTGCTACTAGTGAAGACCAGCCTACGAAATACCAATTCAAACAAGTTCACCAGAGAAACGAGGTAAAGCAGCCAGCATAGATACGGTAGAACTTGTCATTCGCAGTAAGAAAAAGCATTGCTTTATTGTTGCTGTGAATCGATTACTGTATTGTGGACTGAAGGCCAGCGGTTGGCTCTTCTCAGTACCGTACCGTGTCTTTATAAAGGATAAAGGGCAAACTGTCCGGTGTTGATCTATCTTCTGAGTCTCTATGTTCTTCCTGAGTAAACGCGAGGTGTTATTTTATTCTTTATTCAAGAACAAGCTGACATTTCGGCGGATTTCGCTTTCTTCGAAGCCTGGAGAGGTCAAGTTGACCTCAATCTAACCAACCCAACACTTCCATAACCAAACAGAGAAAATGTTAAATCAAGATTTCAATCACATTGAACTCAGACTAGCTTCTTTGCACACTAACCGCTTTCTACGAGTCTTCTACGGAATAGCGTAGTGTACCTCTCACATCAAAACAACAGTCTTAACTGCTCCCCAATATTACGCGTGATTATGAGACATTCGTCCCTGCACTTCATTTTCGGATTCTCGGAATTATTCCAGAATGCCTTGAGAATTTCGCGCGCTTGCGTTTTCGACGCCTGTGCGAGGAGCGTCACTTCTACTTCGAAATCTTCCATTATAACTGTGTCCTATGGGTGTCGAGTGGGATACTTGGTTTTACTTGAAATTCATGTCTTTTAAACGGACGCAAAGTACAGGGTGCAGTACGGTTTATACGGAACAAAATAACACCTCACTTTTGCTCAACAAGAATATAAAGACTAATTTGGTCAATAGTGAAGTTAATAGAAAGTCCGCCGTGGGAAGTATCTTCTGAGTGATGCACCATGCATTCAACTTCATTAAGCCTCTTATTGGTGATTGCATGCATATTCGGACTACTCATCAACTCTGTCATTGGTGCTATATTCCCAGGCAAGGGTGGTAGCAATCTTTCAGATCCTGAGGAGTGGAAAGCTTGTTGAGTCCGTGGTATGGGTTCAAACCAAGAACTACGTGCGTATTGCGGAACACACTCTATCTACTGCACTCATCGTTATCTATGGAAAATTTAGCATATTCGGGGAGTACGACCAAATAGAAGGAGATTCCCTTATCTGAAATCCCAAATACATTTATCAAATCGACAAAAGTTAGACGTAGTACAGGGCAATTCGTATTCTTTCCCCTGTTCACGAATCTCCCAAGGCCTTGTGGGCAATATGGCCATCACTGGCTGTGTGGAACGTTGTTTGCTCACATGGCTGTCCTTAGTCGATTATATCTGAGTCGTGTTGACAATGGCTTTGGTGGGGAACTCCCAAACGATGGAAGAATTCTATGTACCATATACTGATTGCTTTTAAATCTCCAATTTCGTAGCACTGTCGTGTTGAGTAAACCAATCGGTTTCTTTGTCGACTTAGCTGGTAACACTCCGATCATCTCAAAACTCTATCAGACAAGTAGAAAGATTATGACCTGCCATGGCATCGATTTTTCTCATTTGTTGAACACTGTGCGCTCTTCTGATTTATGCCAGAAAAAAATCGCCCGACAAAACCGACATTTCAATTTCGTCCGAAAATTTTTGACATCTGCACTCACTAGGGTAACCTCTCCAATCCATTTCCGCACTCCACTCAAACCATGATGCTTAACAGCCTGACTCATTCTAGAGAATGTTTGAAAAAACTCCGTGGAGAATGTCATTTTACATATTTTTTGAGGTAGATTCTAGTCATCTCTATACTGTGCATGACCTTTAACTGGCAGCAGCGCATTTTAGTGAACCAATAACTATGTCAAGAATAATTTACTGGAAAAAAAAGAACAAAGAAACATTGCACAAGAACGAAAACAAAACTGTACAAAACAACCTCTGTCATATATGTGTATAGACCTGTACACATTTGTTACAATACATAAGTCCAATTACTGGTTAGATAAAGCGAGCTAGATCTTCCCAGTGACGAAGTCATGGAGCAACGTAGGCACAGCTGAATCAAATCCTACAATATCCAACATTCCAGCGTCTTCGGGATCAGCAATGGTGAAATCAGTGGCTGTCATTCCCATTACAATCAACTTAGCGTCAACGATGCCGGATGACTCACGATAATCTCGTAGTGCTTGGTACGGGTGGACCTGAAGACCAACCATTAGCACATTTGCTAATAGGCGATATGATCGACGGCATCAATAAACGCTGCTCTATCCCCTCACATATCAAAATGCAAACAATGCAAAACAATTATTCGGTTATGATGCATTCGGCAAATGATGAATATGCGTGAATCTATGGTCAGCGAGCTTATTAAGAATGCGGATATTACTGGACCACATAACACGACACTACAAATTTAACGCCTCTTGCCATGCCGCAATATATTCTAAGTACGTTAAACTGTAAAAGCTCACATCACCAAACCAAGTGTCATTGTCTGTGTAAACCACGAAGACATCAAATTTTTTCTTCTTTTCCTTTGCCCACAACATCGGCAGAGCACAGTCGGTCCCACCAAACTAAACAGCAGCATAACAAAAGTATCAACAAGTGATGGTAAGATAATGGATTGAACTCAATACATTACACACAATTCAACAGAAGTAGACGAAAGTACAAGAAAGCTATCTCACATCCAATTCATCCATGTATTCCACAATTCGGGAAATAGTCCAGTCCCCGTTGTACGGCAACTCAATGAGATTATCAGAGAAACCAACGCACTCCACCTAAAATAGTTAGCGTTTAAATAACCATACAGGATCCCTCAGTACATATAAAGTAATGGGAGGTGATTACTCACAATTTTCTCATTCTTTAGACTTACGAGGGAGAGCGCTGCACTGGCACAACGACAAGATAACATAGTACCAGATATGAAGCTACACATACTTCCTAGAACGTTGCAGACTCAGAAGATTTTAATTACTCAGCATTAGACACAATAGGCAAAACGTAGACTACCTGAGATATCAAAAGCTAAACAGTAGCGTTTATTCGTCGGTGGAGCGTTAATGAACGACTTATAGAAAGCAACTTCTAGAGCTTCATTGATCTAAAAAAAATCTCAAAACATTAAAGACTGGGGGACAAGGTTTCAGAAATTGAAAAAAAGTTCACTTTTTCATCTGGTTCCCAGCTCAATTTGCCCATGTGTCCGTGACCTGATTCGTACACAGTTTTTGCAATTATAACCTACAAAAAAATTAGAACGCACAATTGCAATGTCGACACACAATAAAACTCTCCAAGAAAAAAAAGATAAAATCACATGAATTGGATGGATTCTTGCACGTTTAAGCTCTTCTTCATCAGTGAGCCTAGCGATAACCGACGTTCGGAATGAGCTGAAAACACAACAGGCAGTTGGTAAACAGGAATAATGCACATACAAGACGAATATTCAGTTCACAAAAATGGTATTAAAGGAAGAACTTGGGATCTCACTCAGTCAATACTCCAATGGACTGCATTTTCCCGAGATTCCTAATCATCGCAGTCATCGGCATTCCCTCCAACAGAGCTTGCCAGACAGCAACCGAATTGAGCATGTCAGTTGGTATGTGTTCGCGAACCAGACCTATTAAGAGCCAATGAATAGGCGGAACAGATTTGAAAAACATGGAGAACTCACGGTGTTTCCTAATGGCTGCTACAACTTTCGCTTCATCTTTCTCATTTTTTAACGCCAATACTGCTTCAACAAGATCAAGCGCTCTGCAAAATAGGCGCATTAAGTGACAAAACTTATAACCGTAATGATGCCGAAATATTTACAAAACTCCGGACCGCTGATGTTTGTGGTCTGCACTGGAAAAAACTATTACCCATTTCGGTACCTAACGCGTTCACCACCACACCATGGCCGTCCTTCGTTTCGCCCTCCTCTCGGCCAACGATTAGTTGAAAGAGGGATAAACCAAAGAAATGCCTGTTAGAAACCGTGCGCTTCAACAAAGAGAGTAGTCAAAAGTGCGGACCTGCTCTCAAGCTCAGCATCCATTTGTACCGCGCTGTACTTCGTAGCAGGTTGTTCGATATCTGCATCTTCCCTTGACAGATTACGTTTCCGGGTCTTCAGATCACCTAAAGAATGGTTCAACTACAGTCAAAAATAACGGACGAATTAAGTAAGCACTATGGAAATACCTTTGACAGCAAAGTGATACAACTGCTCGTATTCAAGAATGGTCGTCGGAAAATTGGACACCTTCAATGTGGGATGGGCCAACCGGAAAAGGTCACGATGAGACCATCCGTCTCTCTGCGGATACTTGGTGAGGAGCATGGCCAGCTGACCAGGGGTTTTGCTGGCATACCTGAAACAATATAAAGAAAATGTGGGTATTAGATAAAAATACCACACTAACGTGAAGAAATCTAACCATCGTTGGATAGCGCTCCTCATGAGACGACCCCATCCGGTGGACTTCCTCGCACTTTCTGATTGGGTTGATTGAGAGACCATCTCGCAGTATTTGACAAACGTAAACAGATGAGTGGGAATACGGCACACCTAAACAATAACGATTTGAAGGAGCATGTTAGGAACGAAAAGTAGGCTGTCTTAAAATCATTTTTTTGCACTTAAGAAGCTCACATCATTAACAATTCCGAATGCCGACTTATGCAACTCATGCAGATACTTGAGTTTCGCTACACCGACATCTCTTCCCAGGGCTTCTTCCTCTTTGTTCAATTTCGAAGCCGAATCGCAAACATTGTACCTGAGAAACAACCCTTCCGATTATTGTTGTATGACGACCATTCGCACCACATTACGTTAGCAGAATGATAAAAAAAACTTTCTTTAGTGATGGCTATAACCAAATTTCTCAACTCTTTCGTGAGCAGCACTTACCTTGCACATAACGCAAGAGCCAATAACAAAGGATCTTGCTTGGGATTTCGTCCTGCGAGTGAAACTTCATAGACCTCCTTCAGGATCAAACTCCCTCGTCCTTAACAGACGAATAAAAGTGACATCTCCAAAAGGATGTCGGAAAAAGAAAACTCGAGACCGAACTTCGAGTTTCGCCCCCGAACTTTAGTCCTTGCCTCGTTCAATGATGTCAATCAGAGCGTTCACATTATCCATAGTCAGCTGTTTTTCGCTGCTGTAGTAAGTTCCACCGCTGGTCCCAAGAATAATGAAACGACGAATCCTAGTCTCGTCGCTTACCGCAAACACGAATCCCCCAGCGGTGTTGCGAACCTCAAAGAAGGACTGTGGCTTAGAGAAACATGCCCCCCGCCATCCACCTCACTCAAGAGCAAATGCTTCCCTTCTATTCCTACCTACTGAATGCTCTTCCACCTACTGAAAGCTTTCAACGAAAACCTATATAACGACAAGATTACTCATATATTTCTGCTTCTTAACCACCACATTGAGCACGAAGGTCTTTACCTGGTCTTCTCTCGTCTTCATCATCTGTCCGCAGTTCTCCTTTATGTAAGCACGACGACAAAGCTCCTCGCATCTGAAGATATAATGGAATTAGTTAAGCAATGATGTAGTTAGGATATATACTACCACCCAGAACAGCAAAATCACTACTACTTTAGGCAACGTCTTTGGAAAACACTGGCAGAATTTAAGCGTATAAAAATGTAGCATTAGGAAACCAACTCTTGCAGATTGCGAATGAATGAATCTGAGATTTTCACGTCGCCTTCGCTTGTCATAGAGAAATCTGTTTCGTCGCTCATTCCTGAAAAGAAAGTGTTCAGTAAGTGGAAAGAAATAAATGTGCTGGTGACACCGCAACACACGACAAACTGGAGAGAAACACTTGGAGACAATGACATGACGATGCAATTCGACTGTGGATTTCGCTGAGAGCTGTTTTCTACGCTTGAACGAGACGATAAAGAGATTCCCTATTAGTAAGAAGGCGAAGTTTTTCTTTAGAAGGAAGTACTGAAGAAACAAGAAGAAGGCGCCATCGCAGGGTTCTCGAATCGTGAGCGGTTCCTGCTGATCGCATTTCATCTTAATTCAATCAATGTTTCAATCCACCTCAGATGACAATTTCTGAGGGGTCCACATGAAGGATCCACATGAAAATCGCTCAAAGAACGAACAGAACAACTATTTCTTCCAGAAACAAACAATCAGAGAATACTCTGGCCGGCGGATCGATGTGTTGTCACCCCTCACAACGACGAACTGTCGAGTAGCGGTTATGCGATGAGTCACCACCCGTAATGAAAAAACGAAGAGTTAGTGGTGTAAACAAAGATCTTTTCTTTCTAGAGAAATCTGGAAGGCTACCAAGAACTGCTGGACAGCTCAAACGGGAACGAAGATGGAACGGGAGGTCAACTGTAGAAGGATGTCTGCGTTCTACTCTTACGACAAACATGAAGTGCATCGAGACGGATGGAGCAGAGGTCAAGCGTTTCCCCTTTTTTGTTCTCGTTGTCACAGCAACAGATCGTACGAATAACGACAAATTGCCACATCGAAAACATGAGAAAAGCGAGTATTGTCCTCTAGTATCGAATATTGTTTAGCCCTTTACCAAGGTAACAGAGCTAGGTAGAACCGTTTGCGATGTCAGACTGCAGTACCGAAGCATTCCGAGACTTTCCATAGTCGAATTCAAAACTAGTATTGAAGGTAAAGGATAGGTGAGGTTGGACAAAAGGAATGAATAAGGTGGAGGGGAAGTGTAGGTTTATATAGAGGCGCGCCAACGCTTCCAAAGTCCCGCCCATTATTGTCGTTGGTTTCAAAGTATTGTGCAATTCGCCAGGTCACTAGTATTTCGAATACCAAGTACAGAAAAATGACAAATAAAGAGGTACTATTAAATAGTGAGAGAGATAAGGGGACGATGTGAGAGATAGAGAATGAGAGGAAAGGAAAGAGAACGATGGCGAGGGAGAGAGAGTAAGAAACTGAGAAACATTCGTAAATGGTGCGCAATGGGCCCAGTCGCACATATTTTGAATTATGCAGATTTAAAGAATAATAAGTACAAGGGTGAGGTAGGGGAAATGGGATTAAGAAGAAGGAAGAGAAACGACGATATGAGGTTAAATTATAGGGATACTGCTCGTGAACTCTATTACATCTGACTCCATTAGAAGTCGAGTAATTCAAATGGTGCACCAGTAAACTCTATGCTTACCTCGTATGAAGTGCTGAGATATTTGCAAAACTCCGGACCACAGGTGTATGCGGTGAGGAACGAACACGCGCTGTTGTCCTTACCGGGGAGCAACGCACTTCACCACTGCACCATCCGGGTCCTTCGCTTTGCATGTATCTCAGCTAGTTCTATCGAGTTCTATGTATGCTTACCTGTGACACTTTGTTCTCAGTGCTTCGATGGGAAGGTGGTCGTAGATATCTCAGCTATCGTATAGGCTTACTCTTCAGGAAAATGTCGAAATTGTTCTCGAATTAAATAACTCCAATGGAGAATGAAAACAGTATTTTGTTGAACACTCAATGTATCAATTGCATCCGAGAGATTCAGAGCCGAAAAATAGTGAAGCCATTCGTTTTCTGCGTTCCTGAAGAGCAAAGACAAGGTTGCTCCCTCATTCTTTATTCACTAACAAGCTGACGTTTCGGCGGATTTCCACATTTTCAGAGCCTAGAAAGGTCAAGTTGACTGCAATCTACCCAGCCAAATACCTCCGCAACCACACGGAGAAAATACTAAACCAAGAATTTAGTCGCAGTCAACATAGTCTTTCCAGGCCCTGAAGTACGCCTAAACATCGGCTTGTTCATTAATAACGAATAAAGTAGAACTCTGGTGTTTGGTCACCAAGACTGCAGTAAATTATCTGGTCAACGCCGAAGTTAATATAAAGTCGATCTTAGGATTTTTCTCCTTTCGCCATGTGCTGTCTTATCTTGGTGCAACACTTCTATAGATCGATTGGTTTTGGGCTACTAGTATTTTACAGTGATAGCAGCAATGCTTTCCTTTCATTTCGGCCACACAGTATATATATATAGTACGGAGTTATGTAGAATAGAGTGATGCAAACTGCACCTCCCAACGGTTTACCGTCACATCGTTGCTATGAGGTGTTCCTGGATTTCGGACTGGGATGTACAGCGGTGGATTCACACCTTGGCAGTGTCTCCCAAGCTGAGAAGGAGTCCGGCATTACAATCATGAAACCTAGCTAAGAGTAAGCCAATACCAGGATCCAGCACCGTCCTGGTATCAAACTGACATGGTGGCAAATCTCTCTCTGTTCCACAAGGGCTGTGACTGCCTATGATGGTGAAAACCTGAGGCAGACTTTGCCCAGGCCGACCTCTGGGTCCAGGAAACCACATTCGCTTAACCAGGAAATATCCGAAAAATGGAGATTGTGTTGGGAACCGCACAACCAGTGAGGATGTGCCGTTCAAGTATCATGTATCAAGTGATAACAGTTATGCACCAATCTAAAAGTGAGCCCATGTTAGGAGTTGGTTGACATCTTTAATCTGATGCTCATCTACGCTTAGAACATAGCCACAAGTTGTCGTCATAATGATTGCAACGCAGTAACACAACCAGTTAAACCCATTTTCAATTCACCAAGACCATTGACTGTATTCGGTGGGGACAACCTAGCACCATACCTACTCCTAGCAGGCATATAGTCCCTAACGTCAACTTATTGACTGCGTTGAAAGATCTGACTTTTCTTCCCGATACTGCTACACAAATAACGCTTGAGCTGTTGCTATGCTTTTGTTATAGTTATGTATGTTAGTGCCTCCGCTGCACCAAAATACTTCATCCTCCTTTTCCTTTACGTTGAAATGAATTTCCTGTTTGTAAGCCACCAAAATTGTTTAACACGAAAGTCAAACTGTTTCCACTACGATCCTTTTTCGAATGGATCTGCTGTGAATGACAGCAGGCATGCAGCTCTAAAACTCCACCACGCATGCTATGAGTTAATATTTATTTATAATTGAAGAAATTCAAAGCTGTATTAAATCATCAAACAGGCTTCGTCGAAAACCTCTACGGAACCTTCGGTCATGAAATTATTTCGTAGTAGGAAGATGAAGGAAAATAGCTAATAGAGATAGTACACAATTGGCCGCCTCCAAAAAAGAAGCACATAGTCACTTAGTGAGGTCTTCTCTGAATCGATCCTTCAATGTACTATTTTCTTTCGCAGATTTGATGCAAAAATATCTATAGGTCTTACTCTTCTGATCGGTGTGAGTGACATCTGAAAGAAAATAATGCATTTGAAACCTTGTCAAAGTTCAGTGTTTCCAATGTATCTTTAGAGTTCGCAGTCTGATCTCTTTCTATTCTTTGGCCCAAACTCTAAAATCAATTACAGAAATTCTAGGGCTCAAACAGGACCCATCATTTTTGAACCGTTGCGGGTGGCCATTTGTTCTCAACGTAGTCTTTGATCTGTGGTAAATTTCTCATGCTTGTATAATACGACTGCAAATCGGGAAATTCGCGAAGTATGTCTGATTTGAGCTCTTCCAACAGTGACAACACGTACACGGCCAGAAGATCACACCATAGCACCTAAAAATATCCGAATTAGAAATAACAGTTGTTGATATTAATAATGAGG